AATAATAACTCTTTAAATACTCCTAAAAAATTCTATGTGATGGGCTTCCCATTTTACAGATAAAGCAACAGTGAAAAATAGAGGTTAAGAAAGTTGCCCAAGGTCATAAAGCTATAAAATGTGAGTGGCATGATCAGAGCCTATATGATCAAGCTTCAGAGTCTATCATGAGAATTATAGACACTATGTTGTGAGTAATTCACACTCTACTTTTCTCTTTTGTTCTATAGATTCTAAGGTCTTTTCTTACATGATATCTAAGAGCATTGCCAAATTCTTGTTCTGTATTTCATTCTTAAAGGTAGAAATAATCACATATCCTCCTTACTCTAAACTTCCCTACCACACCCTTGGATAATTTTGATCTCTCCCTCCATCAAGTCATGACTTCCCAGATTTGAGGCTTAAAAGTGAAATTAGAGCAAATCAACGAACAGTGAAGGGTGCATATTATCATTAGATAGCATAACACCTTATGCAGTTAAATTGCTTCTGAGTTCCTCTAGATTGAGAGGAACACCTTACAGAGGTTCCCCCGAACCACTCAGGCAGAATCACCCGCATAAGAACATTGCTTCACCCTCCACTATTAGAAGACAGAGTAGAAGGGACAATGATTTGTCACCTGTTCTGGTTATTGATTACTGCATAACAAACCACCTCACACTTAGCTGAGTAAAGCAATATGGACCAATATTATTATCTCTCTTGGCTCTAGGATTGGACGGGGCTCAACCAGGCAGTTCTTGCTTGGGGTATCTCCTGCTTTGCTGCTGGTTGGTGGCTAGGTTTGGGGCCATCTCAAAGCCTTGCTCACCCATATATTTGGTGTTGACTCTGGCTGTCAGCCAGGACTTCCGCTTGACTGTTGGTCAGAGCACCTATGCGTGGCTCTTCCACGTGGTCTCCCTATGGGATAGTTTGGGCTTCCTCATAGCCTGGCAGCTGGATTCAGAGAATGTGTGCCTCAGGAGAAGACAGCCGGGTGTAAATTGTATTGACTTTTATGACCTGTCCTCAAATGTTATGCCAATTCATATTCAAGGGGAACAGAATTAGATTTCACCTTTTGTAGGGAGGAGTGTCAATGAATATGGGAACATTTTATAAGCCAACATATTAACTGAGTCAGGAAAAGTGGCTTGGAAACTGAATCGTGCTAGCTGCGGTCACAATTGAGTGATTATTAGCAGATTGTTAGATGAGGAATTATAAAGAGGACAATGACTCTAATCCCTTATATCCCCGAAATAAGTTGTACCCTCCCACTTCTCTACAAAGTGAATAGTTGTTCTCTAGCCTATTTTTCTCTATGTTATAAAAGAATAAAAAAAGATATTTAAATAGGAAACTGACAATAGTTGTCTTCTTGTTTTCATTGATGAAGTTTTGGGGGAAGGGAGGAGCAGACTGAGACCAGCAAAGAAGATATGGATTTCTCAATGTAAGATATTAACAAAAATGTTCAGTTTTCTTCTGGTGGCTTAAAAGAGTGGAAGTTTCTCTCTTTCTACTTGGGGATTCCGGGCAGCAGGAATAGTAGTGTTGTGGGAAATTACAAAAGAACAACAGTAGGAAGGGGTAACCTGCTTGTCTGCGAGTAGGATAGCCGGTGCAGCGCGTTCTCTAAGGATGCACGCATGCACAACCACAGGAAATACAGACAGATAGGGAGCTGCACCCCCATGTAGGACACCATTCGGTTGGACCAATGAGCTCCCCACCCAGCCAGAGTGCCAATCAACAGAGACTACCAGGGCTCAACCAATGACCAAACAACACAAATCCAGCTGGGAGGACTTAAACCCCCGGAATGCAACTATCCATGCTCTTGAGCCACACTATTGCTCCAGCCCACTCTGTGGAGTGTTCTTTCTCTCTTACTAAATAAACTGCTCTTTGTTTTTCACCTCTGGCATGTATCGTCCAATTTTTTGTTTGAGACACCAAGAACCAGGATTTAGGTGGCAGAATCTGCAGTTTCCTCAGTTTCTCTTAACATCATGATTCCCTGACCAAGAAACCCACAGTTTCCCCTAACAGTAGCTGGGGAAAGATATCGAGGAAACAAGAACAAAAACTGAAAGGATTCAGGTTAGGTCCCAGCAATGTGGCAGGAGCCAGGCTACAGGTACGAGAGTCTGTGAGCGTCAGGTAATAAACATTCACGAAGTGATTTCTGATATTCTATTTAAGGAAGTTTTTAGGCCTGGGCCAGAGTTCCTCTTAATATTTCCAAATCTTCAGTTAGAGGCTGAAACCCACCCCAGCATTGTTGGGTTAGTGAAGAATTGAGAAATGAAGTGGGGACAGCTGTTTTCATGTGCTGGGACAATGCCACTGTAGACAACTAGAGAAATGAACAGAAATTAGTCCCACTCCTACCGGATAAATCCCTGGGAAGGGTGGAGACGTGCTGAACTTTCCAAAATGTTTTGGTTCAGGGATTAAGCTGTACGATTGTGACCAAGATTTTTAACTTTACAGTACTTCAGCTTTCTTATTTGTACCGAATAATAATATTTAATTTATAGACCTGTTACAAAGGATAAATCTGGTCACACATATAGGGAGTATAACACAGTATTTAATACATGGCAAAAACTCAATAAATGATGACTTTGTTATTAGAAGTAATATTTTAAAACTTTGGATACTAAGGAAATGGAATTCACAAAAGAGTAGAGGATGTGGGGACATCCAGATGACATGTTTTAAGGTGACAAGTTAAATTTTAGAAGAACTAAGTTTACGTATCATTTTTACAGATTTAGGAACGTTATTCTTATGGTCTTTTATAACCGATCAGCTCTTTAATTACTCTGACAAAGCCCAGTTCAGTCTTGTATGTTTTATATTTGTATAATCTACTCTCTAAAAATGTAAGTTTGAACCTGCTATTTATTACTTATCTTTGTGGGACAGTAAGAAAGATATCATGTAAGGCTAGAAAGGAGGGTGGTACATTTGGAAAGAGTAATAGATGTCAAAAAATTTAAAAAACAAAGAAACAAGTAAGGAGATTGGTTTATTCAGACTGTTCCAACAGAAGAGCACCTCAGATCTGAATGTTAGAGTGCCCCAGCAGGGTGGGTTTGCCCTAGACCTTTATAAGGAGGCAAGACAAGTTAAAAGTGGGGAAATTTCAGGTTGGTGTTGTTTTGCAATCAGGGCTGGGAAGCCTCAGTCAGTTGGCTGAATAGGAAATGTTTATTTGTGGGTGTAGCTGATTCCAAGGGGACCAACAGTTCTAATCTCAGCAAATCATTCATGAAAGAAAGAATGGGGAGTTAGAGGGTTTGTGTCTGGCCTTGTCAGCAGGTGCAGGCAAAAGGGGAAAGGTTTGTGTTTGACCTGTCACAGGTAAGAGAGAGAGTCATCCGAAGACTATGGGAGTCATGAGACAGAGTGGACAGAGAGTCTCATCTAAGTCACATGGAAGGGTGGTTCTTTGTGGTAATTCATTCCCAGACACAAAAGCATTTCTTCACCACAACTGTTTTCTGGGAGCACAGGGCTCAGGTAAAGTTCAGCCTTGTCACAGGGAGCCTGGAGCCTAAGTTCTGTGTCCTGACTCTGCCACTAGCTTCCAAGAGGACCACAACTTCCTCATCACCAAAATGGGGGTTGGGGGAGGATAACCAAAGACTTACTAAATACATTCATACTCCAATGTTCTGTGAGTCTCTGGGAAGAGACTGGATGAAAGGAGGCGGTGGGGAGGTCAGGGAGAGAGGTTTAAAGTCACAGAGGGAGGAGAGGACAACAAAGAAAGACCATGTCACAGAGAGGGGAGGGAAAATGTCAGCAGCTAAATAATGACTCCTGGGGAGTGTTTTAGGATCAGTTAGGAGGCGCCAGGATCTTCACTTGGTCTGGTCCTTCCTCTCTTTCACCCACATCAAAGGCAGCTCCCAGTGAAGCCTTATATAAATGGGTCCTGATGAGAACTAGTTTGAAGACTGCTGTGAGATCCTTGTTCTGCTCCTCACTCCACAGTTAGTGTTCTTGCCAGGGCACCTGGACTAAAGACTGGGCAGTTTACAGCTTGATCAACTGGTCTCCTCCTGGCGCGATCACAGCCTGCCATGAAGGGTTTTCTCATCTTGGCTCTCATGAGTGCAGCTGGTGAGACTTTGGGGCCTTGTTTCTGCCTTGGGTGGAACCCAGGGTAGTGCATGAAGGGTTGGTAAGAGAAGTAGCAGCCACAACTGAAGAGACAGGAAGTGGAGGGTATTTCATAAAACAATTACCTGTTGAAGAAAACAACAGGAAGCCCTCAATGCACAGCTTATCCCAGCAAGGTGCTTGCTAACCCCATGGATGCCTGTGAGCCACTCAGCACAGGCTCTGCCAACCCCCTACTCTTTCCTGGACCCTCCCCTCAAGCCCTAGAGCAGATGGTTTTCCTGAACCAGCACTTTCCCTGTACAGCTTCACTTCCCTTTCCCTGAGCAGATGAAGGTCAGAGGAACTGTGCCCAGGAAAGGAGGGTGGTTGGGTCAGGGACTCTGCCAGCCCCAACTTCCTTTTGCCACCAAAGGTGAGCAGTGTTTAACTTTTTACCCTTATTCTGGGCAAAAGTTAATTTTAAAAAATAATGTTTATAAAGAAAAAATTTATATTCTCATTGTTGTAATACACAGCACTGCCAACCAGCTTCTGATCAGCATGAGATGAGCCTATTGGTTAGTTTCACAGAGCTCTAATGTAATTCCATCTCAAGAAAAGACGCATCATTTCCTTATTGTGTACAGCTTGAGGGACATGCAATACACAATAAGGAATAAGGTTTCCTGTAATTTTTTAAAATATCAAAAATAAATTGAAGACCTTGATATTATCTCTGAAGACTTCAAGTTAGGGAAAAGTACTCTAGCTAGTTCAGCCTCTGAAACTCTTTGACTCTCTTTCCACCTATGCCCCTTAATTCTCCAGGAGCAGTTCTGGCCCAAGATTCTAAAGACAAGTTGAATTTACGAGATGATTTTACTATTCCTTACATGGTCTATCTACAGTCCAGCCCAGAACCGTGTGTGGGGTCTCTCATTCACCCTGAGTGGGTATTGACAGCTGCCCACTGCCCCTTACCGTAAGTATTGCTTTGCTTTGAGGAGCTGGAAGGAATCTATTCAAACAAAGGTGGGTCTGGTGAAGCATCCCAGCAAGGTTTTAATGGAATTAGAAGATGCAGGAAAAGAGAGGGTCTCCTTCCCAATGGGGAATAGAATACATGTTTGACCGATTTAAGAGGAGCTTGAGGGACAGTTAGCTCAGTTGGTTAGAGCACAGCCTTATAACACCAAGGTCATGGATTCAGATCCTTGAATTGGCCAGCTGCCAAAATAAGGGAAAATAAATAAATAAGAGGATCTTGATAAGATGTCAGAAGACTCTCTCTCCTAGAGAGTAAATCATATCCATTCATCAACCAATATTTATCAAAAATGTACTATATGGCAAGAGCTGTTTAATGTACTGAGAAAACTGTAAAGGGAAAAGATGGAATTAAGCTTCCTCTCACAGAGCTTACATTCTAACAGAGGGAGGAAGCCAAAGAAAGTAAATGGCCAAACATAAAGCACAGAAAAGAATGGCGAGCTGTAATATATGGAAAGAACACAAGAGATCTACTTTCGTTAGATGGTCAGGTCAGTCCTCTCTGAAGAGGTGAGACCAACAGAAAGAGAAGACGACAGCCTGGAAGATATTTCAGGCCCAGGTAACAGTATTCATATAGTCCCTGAAGCAGTGAAGATACTTAGGGTATTTGGCAAACTGAGAAATCAGTGTTGACTTGAGTGTAATGAGTAGGGGGGACGTTCATAGGATGAGGTTGAAGAGTTGGGCAGAAGCCATATCATGCAGGTACCAGGAGAAGGGCAAGGGAAAACTGGACAAAATATTGCTGTCCCTTGCAAACCTTGGTGTTTCTGCATGTGTGTAGAATGTGTCATGTGATTGAGACCTACTCAGAATTTCAGGAGTATGCAAGGGTCATTTCAAATTTGAGACTCTTAACCATCTGGTTCTTCAAAATAGTTTAGTTCAATACACATCGAACCCCTGCTTTGTGTGATATGGGAAATACACAGAAAATAAGGACAGTTCCTGTCCTCTCAGAGCAGAATTGGAAAATCAGACATTCTTTCTCTCACCCATATCTAACACATGAATCGCTGTTGGCAGGAAATGGCTCTTGTATGTGTTGCATAACTGGATTCCTGGCCATGGAGGTGGGTGGGTCTGAATTGGTCCAGGGAATATATAACGGAAAATGGTAACTGGAAGTCCTGACATGACTCATAAGGTCTTATGAGTCTACAGTCAATGTAGGCAACACATGGTATATTATGAAAAGGGCCTGACAGGAGCAGGAGAAAAGCCTAAGAATATTTGGGAAAAAATGGGTACTATATGCACCCTCAAGAGTTGCTTGAGGCAGAGTAGTATAGACCAAGAGCTCTGGAATAACAGGCTGTGGTGCTATCTTCATTACCTGCTAATTCAGATGATCCAAATCTTAATAATAGTAACCAGACTCTTTGGAGTGCATTCTAGGTGCCAGATACCATGGCAGGTTTTACATATGCAAGTCTCTAACACAACAATCCTGAAAGCTATTGTTAGTACTTTGCAGACAAGAGCAGGCCACTTCAGTTCTCAGGTTAAGAAATAAAATTAAGATGATCTGACGTTTCTGGTGGTCTGACATTCTATGACCCTGTTCTTTCCCATCTCCCTGCCCTTTTTCTTCCAAAGTGTTAAAATACGACTGGGAGTTTATCGACCCAGCATCACAAATAAGAAAGAGCAGATACGGAATTACTCACAGATAATGCCCCATCCTGAATTTGATGCACAATCTCTGGAAAATGACCTGATGATGATAAAACTGTCCAAGCCTGCAGTGCTCGACCTCTATGTGGGAACCATTGCCGTAGCCATGGAACCCATAGCATTTAATGATTCCTGCTTTATCCCGACCTGGGCCTGGAATAAATATAAAAACCGTAAGTATCTGATTCTGTGTTCCTCATCCTGAGGAGACTGGAGCTGAGAAAAAAGTGGTGGGATATGCAGTACTTAATGAAAATAGCTGCTATGAGGTTTTCTCCATCAGAGTGATTAGTGTCAGGGCTTTATCGCTACCATGACAGGAGGTCAAAGATAAAATTCAGAGGCTGATATAGGGCAGCCAATCTGCTACTAACAAATGGAGCTGGCAGTAACTGTTATATCTCTGGAGCATTCATGAGCAGAGTCCGGGGTTGAAATAAAGATGGGAAAACTAGGAGTCCTCACACACAAAGACAGTATCAAGACATCCTGCAGGAGGGTGGCCCACTCATTAACAGCTGCTAAAAGTGCACTATGCAATTAAAGGAAGAGCAGCAGGGAAAAAAAAAGTATGTGATATGGTGAGGCAACAGGATGCCTCCCACCCCTACCACAGAGAACCCAACCTATACGCAGAGACATGGTGATTCATTCATTCCCATGGACTCTGAGAGATAAAAGGATGGTTGACGGAGCCACCTGCCCTGTCACCAAAGCCATCTCCCTGCAGAGTGCCACTCTTATACCTACTGCTACATCCAAGAGTTCCCACTGGATTTATTTATCACATTTAAATCCTTCTCTGGTGGCTACAGAACAATCCTTCTCTTCTGGAAAAACACATAAAAAAGTGGGAACTTTTAAAATCAGTCTGTTTTGCAAAAACAGAAATAAGAAGCACGGGCTGTGCTCAGTTGGTTAGAGCACAGCCTCGTAACACCAAGGTCAAGGGTTTGGATTCCCATACCAGCCAGCTGCCAAAAAGAGGGAAAAAAAATTTAGAAAAGAAAGTACTTTTACATTCTCAGTATTTTGCAATTTCATTTTTCAATTTAGAAGCAAAATATCTAGGAATCTAAGTGAATATAATTTCTGAATAAATTGCAGTTTGTATGAATCTTGTCCTTTATAAGTCTTATTTAAAGTAATTGCATCACACCTTACAAAAGTAACTTATTATATATCACTCAAAAGTAAAACAAGACTCTACAAAGGTTTTATGACAAGGCTATGAATCTCTGAATCACAGTGACAAACTATAAGCTCTCTGGTGCAGGGTTCCCAATCTTTATTAGGAATGAGTTATTTCAAGGAACTTAAGTTACTTTTACTTAGCTTGTTACACATATTTTAGTGTAGGTCCAGGAAAGGTTTACAACTGAACATAACTCCCCCCCTTTCTATTTTCTAACCTGATATTTTCAATCTCCTTTGGGCATTCAATTAGATACATTCTATCAGAAAAATCCTGTTCCTTAAGTAACACTAGGCTTAGTTTGAGCAATCTCTGGTTAATTTTTTGTTTTCCTTCGCCTTGATACTCTCCACCAGAGATTAAAATCACATAATACCTTTGTTAGAGTCCCTTCACCCTGAAGACGACAGTATTACTGTGATGGAGATGAACAATATGACCTCTCAGGGGAAAATCCTCATATATATACATATTTATACATATACACACACATACAAACACTTATAAATAATCCATTTATAATCTATTTAATTTTTTAAAAAGCAGTTTTATGCACACTAAAAATAGTTTCTTCTTTTATAAATTGAATGTGAAGAAGATGTACATGCCAGAAAAGGGGTGGGGGGGTGGCAGTTGGGGACAAGGGTTTTGTTACTTTCTCTTTCTCCTAATGGTCACTCATCATCTCAGTTTTTTTCAATGTTTTATAAATTATACTTAGTACAGACAGAACTACATATCCGATGCCTGATGGAAGGGGGACTTAGGAATCCACTTCTCCAACACAGAGATCCTGAACTAAAAACCCAAAGAAGGACGGAAGGTCTGAGGCTACCTGCGTTGAATATTCTCAGTGGTGAATTTATTTACAACATAGGGGCTCATCACGAGAGCACTTGTGGTACGGAGATTAACTCTGCAGTTCATTTGTCTTCTCTTCCCCACAGTCAGTGACCCTGACATCCTGACATGGATAAACCAATATTCTCTTCCCCCCCATGACTGCCAGAATATACACCAAGAAATGCAGGCAGAAAACGTCATGTGTGTGGGACAACCTCTAAACATCATGTCTGAGAATAAGGTATCTTTGCTTCCGCCGTACAGGAAGATAGCGAGGGGTCCATGGGGAGGAAAAGTGATGTGGGAAATCAAAGGGTGTTCATCCAAAGATGCTCCATAGAGTGAGAAGCAGAGGGTGGGAGTCCCTCGCCCCGCCCCCCTCAGGCTTTGGGCTTGTAATTCGTTCCCCCTCCCCTCTTTTATGTGGGGGAGATCTGGGGTAGAACTATCTAAATCAAAGGGTGTTCATCCAAAGATGCTCCATAGAGTGAGAAGCAGAGGGTGGGAGTCCCTCACCCTGCCCCCCTCAGGCTTTGGGCTTGTAATTCGTTCCCCCTCCCCTCTTTTATGTGGGGGAGATCTGGGGTAGAACTATCTGTCCTTTCTCCTGCTCGCACTCAGGTTGGGTCAAGCTTGCACTGAGAGAGGTGAGACCTATGTGGATGTGGGGACAGGACTGTCACCCCTCAAGAAAAATAAGTCCATCCCCTCAAATGGTTTTGTGATGTGCCATTTCTTGGGATTTACTTTTGTTTCCTGAGGCCAAAGCTACATTGACCTCCTGTTCCCTCTCTCTAGCAGGAAGTTTCAGCTGCTCCAGCCGTCTGCGGTGGGAGGTTGCATGGAATCTTGTCCTGGGCAAAAGGAAGTGTCACCATGGGAAGTGAAGGAATTTTCACGCAAGTTCATCACTATGCACGATGGATCATGAAAATTATTAACACCCACTGAGGCACCTCTGTCCCTCTATTGTCTCAGGACAATGTCTCCATGATTTCTGCATGGATGTCATAACTCTTAGTCTTTCTTATTCTTGAACAATGCCAAAGAGAAAACATCCAATAAAAAAGAAATCACTAAAAACTCAGGCCGTGACTCCTGCTCTTTATCATGTCAACTTTGAGAATGATGAGAAATTTAGCAACATCCCCACTATTTGTTCATTCATTCAAAAATTATTGTACCACCGTCTACTTAGTAGGCACTGCATTTGCTAAGGACATGAGTGACTATGACATGACACTTGCCATCAGTTAGTTGACTCTAATACTCTGTGACAACTGCTCTAATGAAGATGAGCAACAAGCTCTATGACAGCATATTAGGAGGAATATATTGTAAAACTGAGGGTAGAGCTTACCAAAAAGCAGAAAAGCACATAAAAGCGTGGAAAGTTCTAGAAAATATATGTAAATAAGTAATACTTGAGGGTAGAAAAGAAATTGTAAAAGAGGAGAAAGAATGTGATAAAAGATGATTTTATACAGGTAGGCAAAGTTTAGACAGAAAAGAAAGAAACTTTAATTTTTATCTTATATAGGCATTGGAGGTGGTGTCATTAAAACCGTCATAGTAAATGGAACATTGTCAAGATTTCTGAATTGAGAGATACTAGGGCAGCAGCATCTGTACACTTTGAACATATTGAATTGAATGTGAGAAGAAAAAGAAAGAAAGGTATCAGAGATAGCTCCCAAGTCTCTGACTTGAGCAACTGGATAGACAGTGATTCTCAAAGATAATATTAGGAGAATCAGCGACTTTGTTTGCAAAGTATCGAGAGCATCGTCATGAATGAAGAGACATAAAGATGCAAAACACAGATGCTGCCGGGCAGCAGTAACAGCTGGGGGTCCTGCATTTATGGGTGGTGGCTGCAGGCTGTTTGGGTCTCTTGACTATTGGGAAGATCTGTGACAGGTGCTCAGCCCTTTTCTTATACCCACATACGCTGGGCAGATGAACAGCACCCCAGACCCACTGACCAAGTCACCTAAAAATAGAGACAGAGTTAAGAGGATTCTGAGTGACCCAAAAGATGGGGGTTACAGGATATATGAGGGATGGGCGGTGGAATAACACGTAGGGGAGGGACCATGTGATGGGGGTCATCTCTTTAAAAAGCAAAGAGGGCCAGAGAGGAGCAGTGAGATGGGCATAAAGAGCACACCACAGGAGAAAGAGCCCATGGAAAGGGTAAGGAGGTTTGGAGTTACTCCCATGAGGGAGGCAGTGCATCTAGGGGATCTATAAAGACTGCAGAGGTGGGTTGGTTCTTAGACATTAATATACCCTGAGCCTGGATGTTTTTTGTCTTCTCCTAATGCAAAAAAAAAAAAAAAAAAAATAGAGCTTGGCTGTGTTTAAGGCCCGTAGCCTGTCCCAGCACACACACAAAAATAATCTTTGTTCTCACATCCAGACACTGAGGCCATTTCACTCAACATGTGCCTTTTCCTCCCGTAACTTTGGCCCCATTTAAGGACAGAATTCTGAATGACCCACCGCCTATAGAACGCACGGCTCTCTGCATATTTCAAGTTCAAATTGGATAGATGTAAACTTACCCAATTTAAATATTTTAAAAATCATAATGAAAAAGAAGACTTACCAACTGAAGCTGAGTTTTTAAGAACTGACTCCTTTGGGGCTCCTTTTTCAATTCGTATTGTGGCCCACTGTTCAAAAGCAAGAAGTATTAATTTAAACTGTTCCACAGACACAATGTAAAATACTTAAACCATACTTATAGGGAAGTGAAATTAAACATTAAGCCCTGGCACTATTTGAATTAAAGAGATACCCCAGTAAATCTCTTACACAGTAGTATTCCAAGTCCCAGGTATACTCTTATATTAGTTACAGATAATGCCCTAATAAATTAGGAAAGAACAATATTTACCCATCTAAACCTCCTCACATGCACCTGTGACCTAATAAATCACTCTTGGGAAGAGCCCATAAAGCCCATGAAGCATGTTGGGCAAAAGAGCCAGTAAAGCCCATGAGCATTCTTTTACAAGTTATGGCATGAAGAATGTTTGGGTTTGAAATTACTCAATCCTTCTAGGTCTCAGTTTCCTCATTGTAAAATGAAGATAGTAGTTCCTATCCCATAGGGTTGCTATCAGGATTAAATGAGATAACACATGTAAAGACCTAAACACAAAGCACAGAGTATAACTATTTTTTTCATAACAAATCAGGCACTCAGAAGTAAGAGACACCCAAGGAAGCATCAGAAATAAGCTTGCAGAAAGAGGCAGCACAGACTTGGAAAGCTGGAAGGGAATTGGTGAAATCACTAACTAAAGAAAATTATCTGGGGCCGGCCTGGTGGCGCACTGCTACAGTGCGCCGCTTGGGAGCGCAGCGGCGCTCCCGCCGAGGGTTCAGATCCCACATACAGACTGGTTCCCGCTCACTGGCTGAGCGAGGTGCGGACGCAGCACTGAGGGTTGCGATCCGTTGCCGGACACGAAAAAAAACAAAAAAAAAAAAAAAGAAAAAAGAAAATTATCTGTCCACCTGGTTACTTACATATTAAAATGCATAGGGAAAATGTTGTGATAATGAGGATCTACAGGTTTGAGAGAATTTAAGAACTCGAAAAACAACTTTCACTTTGTTTTGAATGTACACAGCAGTGTAAAGAAATATATCAAAATGCAATTTTTTATTTTTTCTTTATATATTTTGTATGCACGTCCAAAATTATTTACCATTCACATCATAGTTCAAAAACTGCAAGTGAACTTTTTCAACTCAGCACTCTAGAGAATTCCAAGGGCTGTTTTAAAATATCTAGAGGATTACAATTTCAGAAGCTAACAATGTCTAAACTGACTGATTTGAGAGGAGAAGGAAAGAGCAAAGTAAGAGTTAAAAAGCATTGCAAGAATTATAATTAGATGTAAGCACCCCTCAAGGAGCAAAAAGACAGATTTATTAATATGTCAAGGCAAAAACCTTAGCCATTATTAGGGTTTATTAAACAGAGAACTTAAAAAAATTTTTTCAAATAAATAAGAAAGTAACTTATAGAGAATAAATAACCTCAAACATCCACACGAAGGCCAAGAAGTAAGGCATGATCTGATTGCGCCAGGACCGGTGCACAACAACCCAAAGAGCCAAGTAGGAACATGCCATTCTCACTTAGAGAACAGCCTGTAAATAGAGGCCTGCCTAATCCTCTGCGCTGCAAGTGGCAAGTCACTAATGATAATAAGACTCAATCTTAAACTGGTTGTATCCTTTTATCTTCTCCCTGATTCGGTCAGGAGTTCTCAAGCTCTGAACTTGTACCTCCTGTCTTTTCACAGTTGAGGTAAAGGTTTATTTCCATGGTTTTTCCTTTAAAGGTTTGGCACCTGTTACCATTTGTAAGCAAATCAAAGATGAGTAAATCAAATTTTGTAAACAATCAATCATTGTTAATCTCAGAACTCACTTCTTTACTGTGGGCATGCAATTTTATATTTTATGCAAATGGTAGTTGCCTCAGACTAGAACAATCATGTCATGCTCATATGATGGAAAATATTGCTATTCTGTGGCTGTTATGGGCTAACTCATGTCCCCTCAAAATTCAGATGTTGAAGTTCTAATCCCCAGCACCCCAGAATGTGACTGTATTTGGAGACAGGGTCTTTAAAGAGGTGATTAAGTCAAAACAAAGCCGTTAGTGTGCGTCCTAATCCAACCTGACCAACGCCCTTATAAGAAGAGGAAATTTTGCACAAAGAGACACCAGGAATGTGTGCACACAGATAAAAGGCCATGTGAGTACATGATGAGAAGGTGGCCACCTGCAAGCCTCAGAGAGAGGCCTCATAATGAAACCAACCCTGACAACACCTTGATCTTGGAGTTCTAGCCTCCAGAACTGTGAAAAAATCCTTCCTCTGCTTAAGCCACACAGTCTATGGTACTTTGCTATGGCGGCCCTAGCAAACTAGTACACTGACATTCCTCAGATACAAAGAGCTCCATGTCCTGCCACCAAACAAGTTTCAGAATACACAACCTCTCCTGAAATGGTAGCTCCAAAGGTCTACCCTACAAAACACAATTATGGTGTTCAAAACAAGCACCTTTTAAGGTTGGAGAAGCAGCCATTTAATGCCAAAGGGAATTTGCACTAGAAAGCCATTTTCTTCTGTAAGTTTACTCTCCAATGAAAGTGAAAACATGCCTTTGCTTTGCAGCCAGACAGATGTGCATTTGAATTACAGTTCTGCCATTTCCTGGCTGTAATCATCTCAGACAAGAGACTTCAACCTCTTGGGGCATCCACTTCATCATCTCTAAAACAGGGACAATACTTAGGGTGGCTGTGAAGATCAAAGGAGATAATCTATATGGCACCCACCACTCAGTAAACCAAAGCAGAAAAATGAGGTCCACACTTTATTTAGGTACCAAAAATGACCAGTTTTTTCTATCCCATCAGTGCATTTTCAAGTAAATAGCTATTTCTCTTTTACCATGCCACCTTCTCTGGCCAATCAAATAAACTCAAATACAAAGGCAGAATATCTCTTCGAGAGGTTCTAACTCTCTTACAGAAGAGAAGTATCTCAGAACACATCTGTCTCAAAGCACCATGAAAGAGGCAGCTCTGTCAGCAAGAGCGTCGTGAAGTACAAAAGTGGCTTCTAACACCCCATTACTTACTCCCCACTCACTTTCAACAAAAGTTGAAAGACACTTGATCAGTTAATTTCTCTCTCCACTTAATATCCAAATCCTCTTGGAGGGAAAATGGTAGCTGTCCAAAATTCACCAAGAAGAAATGGTTTCAAGTCTGATTTTTAAAGCTTACAAAATTATAAGACTATCACCTAGATAATTACAACTTCCAATTTTTACACTAAAAAGACATTTAAGGATTGATTAAAAAGAGAAAGAGGAAAGATGCATAAAATTGTATGAAAATTCAAATTATT